GATTTTCCACACAGGGACTCCTTTCTTCTTTTCCTGTCAGCCCAAGGGAGTAATAATACAGGTGTTTTTCTGTATTTGGGCCAAAAGGAGTTTCTCTTTCCCAGCAAACAAATGGGACTGATCTATTTTTGCATTCGGAAATATGGAGTCTTTAAAAAATGCCACATGGCATATTGCAAAGATTTACGAGTTGGCATAAGGTTGCCATTTTCATTATTATGGTTGGTCACACCGTCAATCAGATGTTTAGACTGGATTTGCCATTTTTATCCACCTATTTACTCCTTCCCAAGGATCTGGGATAGGAAGATGTTGTTTGACGGTGTTAAATGTATCTTTGTGGGAGGTAAGCAGTGAAATAAAGCTGCCTTTTGCAATTGACTAATGATGAATTTATCAATGGCGAAAGTGTTCGAGTAGTGCTCCACATGTTTTGGGATTGCACCCAATATACTTATTACTATTAGTACTGCCTTTGCTTTCTTTTGCCACAGGAGTGTTATGTGTGTTGGACCTGGTCTTTGGGTGTTAAGTGAATTTCATTGTATGGGTATACTCTGTATACACGTGCAATGACAATAAAGTTATTTATTTAAAAAGAATTCTGGGAGTCAAAGTCCACACATTTCCAAGTCTCCAAGGTTGAGTTCATTGATTTAGAAGATTCTAATTTTTGGAAACCGAGTGTCTTGGTGATGGAGAAACAAGTATTCTGAGACCCCAGTTTTGTAGTATTGCCTGTTTTGTTTCTAAGGCAGAACATGTATATTTCTGAAGGCAGGAGACCAGTGGTGGGTTGGCCCCGGTTCAGACCGGTTCACAAGAACCGGTAGTAAAATCGGCAGGAGGCTCCGCCCACCGCCCCGGATGTTGTCATTGGCGATCTGCGCATGTGCAGAAGCAAGGCATGCGTGCGAACAAAGAGAGTGCATGCACGCGATCCCGTTGTGAACCGATAGTAAAGGTAAGTAGAACCCACCCCTGCAGGAGACCTAATAGCTGCATTTATTTATAAAATGGAAACATGCATCTTGTGAATTACAAGATGAAAACCCCAGTTTGGGTGTTAGTTGAACCCTTCCACCGCCCAGAAGCAGACCATAGTGTGATTAAAGGCTTGTAAAACAGTTCCAGCTGATATGTTGCTAATTATCTGTGGTCAATTTCATCTGGCCTTCTGTCCAGGAAGAAAAAAAATTCCAGAGATAGAAAATATGATTGTATGGTGTGCTCTTAATCATGACCTCCTCCTTGTTGCAGTCAAGGTTCCATAAACAGTAAATGATTTTGCAGCTTAGGAAACAAATGGAGGAAAGGGTTTGTCTGTTTTAAAGATATTTTTATTACAATAGTAATATAAAAGAAAAAAACAACTACTAAGCATAAGTAAAAAACATTATGAGAAAACTTACTAGTGACACGTTCTCCTCTTATGTTTGTTTCTTACTACAACCTATATATTCTTTATGCTGAATATTGAAGATTATTACCAGTGTCTTTTCAAATATTTTTAATCTATATTTTTATTTTCTCATAATTTTCCTTCTTTAAACTATATTCCAAAGACATAGATTGCCTTGCTATGTTATCTGTAGTATACCAGACAGCATTGCTTTGGTCAGAGTTGTATTTTGTGAGTTGACTTGTCTACTGTTAATTTTGCCATTTGTATATATTCTCCAATTTTTATCTCCGAGTCTAATTGTCAGCTTTGGAAGCCATATTAGGCTGGAAGTTTCCGTGCTGCCATCTTCCCATATGTGGAAAGTAGGAGGGGGGATTTAGTAGAGGGGTTGTCTTTAGACATAATAGCATTCTTCCTGTCGGTCAAGGTCAGGGCGATCCTGCATCTGGAGAAGGAGTGGTTGGAGTGAGGTCTTGAGATGGGACGGCAGATCGACTGAGGAGTGAGGAGATGGTTTGGGGGGTTTGATTTACTGAGGGAAAGCCCGGACCTCTGGGTTTTCCCAGATGTGCCAGTTTATCTATTCTAGTAAATAGAACTTTTAAAAATGCTTGCTTCAGAGTCTTTACTTGGAGATGGGTTTTTTCTGGAACGCTGACACTAATATTGTCAACAAAGTCCCTCTTTTCCAATGGGTCAGATTTATTCTTGCAGCTATCAGCCTATAGCTTAGTATTTTTTCATTAATGTTTTCTGGACTTATACTTAATACAAATATTTGTGGCTTAAGTTCAAAAAATTAAATAAGAGTTTCAGGAACTTACTTTGGCAGATAATCAAGGTTCCCTTTTATTCTTCTACTTGTTTTCCTTTTTAATATGCTATGCCTTTATCTCTGCATTGAAAGTCTGGCCATCAGAGTCTATAACAAGTCAGATTTAGTTCTCTTCATTTTCTTCTTTCGACTTGTGCAACTTACTTATGGCTGAAAATATTGTAGATTCCATTTTAAAGATGAATTATATATTTTTAAATGTGCTGACCAAAATGATTTGGTTCTTTTTTTTTCTCCCCAGAAGGTTTTGGGAAACCTTTGAAATAACTGGACTTCATTTCTGTACTGAATAAGATCTAATGGCCATGTCTTCAGACACTTGAATATGGTAATCTGCATTGAGATTGTAACCTAGTCCTGAGAAATTTCACATATTGGCATCTTTCCTTCCAAACAGTTTTCTGATTTTTTAAAAAATATTATCTTGCCAAATTAAGAAAGAGAAAAGCTGAAACCTTAAAAATATAAATTTATTCTGTAAAATGTATGCTAGTTTGTGGATGATCCTTTCCCTATTGTGGTTTGCATGTATCTGCAATCAGGTAATGGATATAAGCTGAACCTGCTGGCCTTTATGCCACAATATTAGAACATATTGTGCTCATTTATGTTTAAATCTAGAATGGACTTGTTAAAGACCCTCCCTGTTTTAAACAGTAATCTACCCTTTGGGGGGAAATTATAGAGTTCATGTAAAAAACTGGCTAAAATTAAAAGTTGTAAAAATATATCATAGTATTGCAAAATAATTTCAACAAAATATTCTGCAAAGCCAAAAATCAGTGCCTGTGTATTCATCTGAAATGTTTTGCAATTCTCAAGAGAATTAATCTAGGCATGGTCTGTTGTTCTGTAAGCAGGAGTGGCAGAAGGAACACTGAGGATACAAATTAATGACAAAAAATGTCTATTTCTAAATGACCAAAATTGTGAGTTTCAAAACAAATGCCTTGGCAGAGAGTTATTTTCAGGATAGGAAACCTATGGTCCTTCAAGGTGTTCGGAAGCTCTAATTCAGCAATATCTAGAAAGCCATTGGTTCCTCACCTGTGGTTAGTTTTGTAATTTCATGTTGTGCCAAGCCGTAAGAGTTTACAAACTAGCATGAATGGAATAATAAATACAATAAAATAAAAAGTTCGCAAACTCACTAGCACGAGTGGAAATTTATCAGAGGGAGATCCAATCTGGAAATGAGGTGGAATTTCCTAACACTGAAAACTATTAAGCAGTTGAACAGCTTGCCTGCCCCGAGTTGTGGGTCCTTAGGGTTAGTGACATTAAAGTGGGCGGTTGCAATTATAACATAAACTGATCAGGGTTGTGCAAAGCAGGATGTAAATCTGGAACATTTTGAGAGGCTGATAAACTTGAGCATAGCCACCTGTCAAAACCATCTGGCGGTCATAGCAATATCGACTGGTAGAGGTCTCCCCACTGACTGATGACTTCAGATGTAAAGTTTACTAGTGTCGTTTTTAATTGTATGTAGACGTGCACATATTACAGACATTACAGACTAACACAGTTGGAAGGGGCCTTGTAGGTCATCTAGTCCAACACCCTGCTCAAGCAGGAGTCCCTATACCAGTGATGGCTAACCTTTTCCAGACCGAGTGCCCAAACCCCCAAAATGTAATGCACGCGCCCCCCCGCACATGCACTGCGTGCCTGCCCCCCTGCATGTGTCCCCCCATGCATGCATGCGTTCCCTCCCACGCACCCTGCACCCCACCATGTGGGGAGCGGAGCTGGAGTGACGGTTCTCGCGTGCCATCAGAGAGGGCACTGCATGCCACCTCTGGCATGGTTGCGTGCCATAGGTTTGCCATCACGGTCTTATACCATTTCTGACAGATGGCTGTCCACTCTCTTCTTGAAAGCCTCCAGTGATGAAGCACCCACAACTTCTGAAGACAAGTTGTTCCTTTGCTTGATTGTCCTGTCATAAAATTTCTCCTTATTTCTAGGTTGAATCTCTCCTTGATCAGTTTCCATCCATTGTTCCTTGTCTGGCCTTTGAGTGCTTTGGAAAACAGGTTGACTCCCTCCTCCCTGTGACAGCCCCTCAAATATTGGAACACTGCTATCATGTCTCCCCTGGTCCTTCTCTTCACTAGACTAGCCATGCCCAGTTCTTGCAACCATTCTTCATGTTTTAGCCTCCAGTCCCCTAATCTGTTGCTCTTCTTTGCACTTTTTCTAGAGTCTCAACAACTTTTTTTATAGTGTGGTGACAAAAACTGGATGCAGTACCTTTCTAAGGTTTTATATGGACTTTTCATTTTGAATTGTAAAAGTTAAATGAAGCACCCTGTTTTTAATTTCAAGTGCAAATGACATAATTTTTAAGGCATTGTCTGAAAGCTTAATTAAGGCAACTCCCTAAAGATGGAAATAGGTGGTCTAAGAGCTGGATAGGTATTCCCTCATCCCTTCCCCCAATTGCTCATTTCTTCTTTCCCACAAATTTTGAAAAAAAAAAATTGCTGTCATAACACTACACAACTTTACATAACCAGGCCCAGTTTCACCTTGTTTAGTTTATCTCACATGGTGCAACATGCTTTTAATGATCCTACTTAATGAGAGGCTATGTGAATATTTGCACACTAGTAATGTGTGAGTTGACCTAACAATGAATAAATTGCTATGTATGGATTGTCATTTTCAAATGTCATTTAGAACACAGAAAATGGACCAAGCTGTCCACTTAATACCAAGTTAAACCAACACAAAGAATGACTATTGACAAACCAGTTTATACTAAATTAAACTTTATTGACTAAGGTTTGTTCTCCAGACAGTGTGATTTGATGAACTATGGCGGTATGCATGCAATCAATAAGCTTGACAATAGTTTTAAAAGTGAATGTCAAACAACTTAGTAAAACATATTAGATAAACATTTAAATCTGCGTTGCTGCAAAATGAAACCGAGGCTGCATGAACTGTGTTGAATTAAAAGGCACTGTGGTTGAAAATGGAAAATAAACACTGGTATATTTCCTTAGTATATATTTCAAATAAATTAGAATTGTACACTTTCAGCCTCACTTACACCCCAACAAAAATGTGTGCAAATATTAAAACTGTCATTAAGCAAAAATGGACTATCAAAAGTGAATTGAACCATGTTATTATTGAGCTAATTTATAAGTGAACAGTAAGTGTAACATTCTTGATATCTTAAAATCAGCATAGGGATTATTAGTACAGCTCAAAACAGTTTATGTAAGGATCTATTCACACCATCCAATGAGGTTGCAGTGCAGATAATTTCTCCACCTCTCAAGCTATCGCATGATACCTGCAGTTACTGCACAATATGGATGTGTAATTTATCCTCAAGTCTCTCACATTATTGGCAGGCTAACAATCTTCCCTTCTCCCAGTACTACCATCATTGTTATTCAAGCATAAATTATAAAAAGATGGAGAAACAAGCAGAATTCTTCCTTAATTTTAAGGAAAGATAATTGATTGCAAAAATATGCGACTTTGGATGTTTTACTGACAAGTTTTATTGTGGCAAAAGGTCTAGCTGGAATGCAAATGGCAGTTTTTCAACAGCCACCAGGACTTGCTTCTTAAATTATCCTTAATTCGTGAAATATACTTACTACAAAATATATAGAAATGTTGAAATTCTTTAAAAGAATACCTGATTTGTTTGCACTGCTGGAATCTTTTAATGTAAACATGATAGTGACCCATGATAACCCAGAATAGTTAACCATTTTATGGGTGTATCAGTGTGATTGTTTAACAACCACAAATAACTCCAGTTATCGTATACCAACCACAAATAACTCGAGTTATAGTGGCTGTGATTCCAATCACAGAGTTGTCCGATCTCCTGCTTCTGATGGAACCTAACTGTGAAAACATTTGCATCTAATAGATGACTGCATCAGGCCAAAATTGTTTCATTTGTCCAGCTTCACATTTTATAGCTAGTAATTAATGAATGTTATGGTAGGGTTCACACATGACACTGAGCCATTTTGCAGTTTGTTGCTTAGTCTATTTGTGGTAGGATAGGCTATAATAGGAGGCAATAAAATACAGTTGGGAATCATAATTTGTTGGTTTGCTAATTGCAACCACAGCTTCAAATGATTATGCATGTGAATGCATTGTCTATTTGTGGTTTCTAGCTGATTCCCAATTTGGTTTCATATCCCTCCCAAGCATCTAACCCAGAGCTGTCAAACTCTTGGCCTGTGGGCCGGATGTGTCATGTGCTGGCCACGCCCACACCCAGTTTAGCGAAGGGGGAAAAAGTCCCGATATGTCACGCCGTGATGACATGAGTTTGACACCCCTGATCTAATCCATTCACAGAGAAACATGGCAAAACCAAGGTTTAAAAAGGAGGGGAAACAGCAAGAATAAAACAAACAACCCATGAACCTCCTGCGCGAACTGCATTGGCTCCCGGTGGTCTTCCGGGTGCGCTTCAAAGTTTTGGTTACCACCTTTAGAGCGCTCCATGGCCTAGGACCAGGATATCTACGAGACCGCCTTCTGCCACCAGTAGTCTCTCACCGACCAGTACGCTCCCATAGAGAGGGGCTTCTTAGGGTGCCGTCGGTCAAACAGAAGGCCCCCAGGGGGAGAGCCTTCTCTGTGGGGGCACCCGCCATCTGGAACGAGCTCCCCCTGGAGATACGGAGGATCCTAGATCTGCGCGCTTTCCGCCGTGCCCTCAAAACATTCCTATTCCAGCAGGCCGGCCTGGCCTAACCTCTCTTTTAAACTGTTTTTAAATTTTTTAAATTTTAAATTTGTCTTATAAATTTGGGGTGTTTTAAATTTTGTTTTCTGGGCCAAATTATTTAATTGTATTTTAATGGTTTTTTAACATTTGTATTATATGTATTTTATCTTTTGGCTGTTCACCGCCCTGAGTCCTTCGGGAGTAGGGCGGTATACAAATTCAATAAATAAATAATAATAATAATAATAATAATTTTTCTGATCATCTGCAAAACTGTTTCAGGATGGTCACCCAACCATAGCTAAAATAATGAAACTTTGAATAGCATCCTATATGCAAGTCGGTAGAATCTTACAGTAGTGGTAGAATGGAAGTTAATAAAATTTAAACATCCTTGAACGGATTCCTTAATGTAGGTTGGAAGATCTGAAACAGGAAGAAAATGGTCAAAGCATGTTGGGTGGGCCTTGTCTGAAATGTAATTGATTGATTCCAAGGAAACAGATAAACTGCCTGACAAGTTCATCCAAGGAAATTGTCCCAAAGTGCACATTTTAGCAATGGAATGTTCTTAATAGAAAAATGATCAATATCTGACTTAAGGATGCCAGTTGTTCAGTAAAAGAATGGAATCTCAATTTCATCCTAAACATCCTCCCCCAAATTTATTTCAGTGTAACTTTTTTTTAGTATAACAAAAATGAATTTTTTTTAGAAAAATCAACATATTATAGACATACATTTACTGACATTATATCATCTTTCTAAAACAAAAACAAAAGACCAACTCCCCTACTGTTGTGTTGACTAAGATTTTCTTTTAAACCAGCTACTTTAAATATCACTATGTGCTGTTCTCCCTCACATCACCCCTGCTTCCCAGTTACCAGAAAAAAAAAATCAACATTTTTTTAATATATATATATATATATATATTTATATATATATAATTATATATTGCTTGTTAAAATCTCCTGGTTGAGATTGTTAAAGTACCACCTCCGTGGGAACGAAATGAACACCACGTGCTAATACAATTTGTATTTCATAGTCGCATTGACGACTGCAATTTCAAAGGGCTAGATCTCTAGATCATCAGGTCGTGGTCGACTGCTGGCTCGACTGCTGGCTCGACTTGGTGGCCGCTGATCTACAACTGTGAGAGGTTGGAGCTCATGGCCAGAGGCCACTTTTTTTGTGTTCTCCGGCTCATCGTTAAATTCAAAGTTCTGGGCGTGTGAGTTGGAAATGGTGCTCCCGGCTTGTCCAATCCTGTTCTGTTCAGCGCTATAGTTTGCCCAATTTTGTTCACTGGCTTGTTTATTGTAGTTACGACAGGATGATGTATTGTTCCTATCTCCAGTTACAAGCTTGTATCCTGGTGGAGACATGGGAGACAAGGGGGCCGTTGGAGAGGAGCACCCGTTGAAGTAAGCATATTTGGGAGATCCACAGTCCTTGGAGGGACTTAAGCCGCTGTTAGGTGAGAAAGGATTGCCTTTGGTCTTCATGCGATCTTTAATGCTCTTGAGGGTGACATAAAAAATCTCAATGATGTTGAGGGTCAGAGATATGATAGATACTACCAGCATGAAGATAATAAAGATGGTTTTTTCTGTGGGACGAGAGAGGAAGCAATCCACTTTGTGTGGGCATGGTACCCGTTCACAAGTGTAGATGGCTTGCAGAGTGAATCCATAGATGTACCACTGTATCATCACAAAGGCCACCTCAAAGATAGATTTGAAAATGATGCTGATGATGTAAGTACGAAGCAGTCCACCACGCATTTTGACCTTGCCATGTACTTCAATTCCATACTTGAATTTCTTAATTTCTATCTGCTTTAGAGGGAGGTCTACATTTACCCCCTCACTTTGAACCAACTTGAGCTCTTCCTCTTTCCTGTTTAGCTTCTCTTCTTTTCGCATCACATAGAAGACATGTGCTAAATACAAAAGGGTTGGCACCGAAACAAAAATGAACTGCAGCACCCAGAAACGCACATGAGATATCGGAAATGATTTGTCATAACAGACATTTTCACAACCTGGTTGTTGAGTGTTGCATCGGAAAGCTGACTGCTCATCTCCCCAGGCAGATTCCACTGCGGTCCCCAGAAGCAAAATTCGGAAAATGAAAAGGACAGACAGCCACACCTTTCCTCCAGCAGTAGAATAGGCTTGGACTTTGTCAAGGAGCCTACCAAGAGCACTCCAGTCACCCATCTTCTCTACCTGCTACCTGAAAGAGAACAAAGGAAAGAGCTGAAGCACGGCTTGCATAAGTCATTCATGACTGTTCTTGAAAAGACATAAAGTGCGTGCATGAGGATGCGATGATGAAACCTGCATATGAAATTAAGAAAGACAAATGGATTATGATCGCAGGACTATTTTCTCATGTGGTGAAACAAGATAAAAAATCTGGAAATTTTATTGCACAAGCCCATGCTCTTTAGAGTAATTGTGAGCATACCTATGCCATTATCAATTCCACTCTAGGGTGTCTTTCTAATATAAAGCTATTTTAGACTGAAATTGCAATTGAAAACAAAAATATTATTCTAGGAAAGTAAAAATAGTAAAGTACAGTATACTAATCAATAAATCAGGGAATCCTGCTTTGGCCCATTACTACGGAAGGATATAGTGCATAATCGTTTTTATTTAATTAAAAGACAGCAGTATCTCTTTTCAATTTAATATAGATTTTTAAATTTGTTCTAATAAGCAAACTAACTTCATTGCTTCATTAGGTTGCCAGGAGGGGAGAGGGGAAAAAAGCCTTGTATGAATTACTCAAACAATTCTAATGTTTTTCAATATTGATTCATTTTAAAAATTCTTACAGCTCTATCAATGCCTATGCAAGAAAAATATCAGGGAGATACATTTTGTTTTATTGAAAACAGGGATTCTAGTTTTGTCTTTTGGCAATCTGTGTGGTTCCTTAAATTAGAATATTTGGGTTAATAGATTTGATTCATATCCCACGTTTTTGTTTATATAACACTGACATACACTTAATGATCACATTGAGATTTCAATCCTAAACATTGTTACTTACCACTGTGCGCCATTGATTGAACACAGTGGGGCTTCTCTAATTAAATATATACAAATGTGTTATATGTAGGCTGCTGATGTGTCCTATGCTACAGAATCCTGCTTAATTTTTTTATACTGTTTATTTTATGTAACTTGGTATAATGCCAACTGCTAGTGTCTCTTTTCAGTCTTTTGAAGGACAATTCTCTGTTCAACAAGCATCCTTTAATTTTTTGAACGGCTCCCTAGTTCAAGGATGCTATAAAGTTAAAAGAATACTAACAAGAGAGAATAACTAAGAGCCTCTGGAGTTAGCATCTGGATAGGAGGCTGAACATTTCATTGACATCTATATATGCATTAAAATAAAACTGTTATACATATATACACTTCTTAAAGATATGATATATTTCATTAGGTGTTTGGCTAAGCATTTTTTCTTTCTTTCTTCAACATGATTACAAAAGCATCTGTCCCAATAATTAGGTATTGCAAAGGTTTGAAGGTCTAAATCAGCCCTGGTCTAAATGTTTCAATGGTAGACCAGGCAATGGCATTCTTTCTTGCTTCTTTGAATTTGTAAAATGTCTTCATTAAGAAATGCTATATAAATATCTCCATTAAGAAATGCTTTGAGATACTCCTGAGTGGAAATGATGCAATCTGTGGCCTTTAGCCTATAACTGCTATTCTACACTTGCAAGTTACCTCCCAATGAAATCAGAGAATCAAAAGAAAGCATGAATTAATTCCTAGCAGTGCCTGTAAATATTTTGCTTCTCTGGCAGTCATATTTTGCATATTCAAAGAAGTCTGGATAATGATCAGGTGCATGATTCACTTACTAGAAGACACAGACCATAGACTTCTAGAGACATATCAACCATAGACCTACAACAGGTTTATATGTACTGCAAAGACAACATGTCACATTCAGAGAACTGTCAGTCTTTGTCACTATTGAAAAAGTTAATACTTGTGGTATCTGATTTTTAAAGAGATGTACATATCCACTGTTCCTTTTAAGATGACAAGCCTTAAAATATGATAGTTGGGACAATACATAACAATCTTTGAAATCAGATGATGATTAGGGTTCATGTTTTCAATACCCATGCAGAACTGAATGTGAATAAATATCAAAACCCTGTTCTTAAAACATTTATCTTCTTTCTGATGTTATCTTGGCGATTAGCATACTATTGTTGTCATAAATTACTGTTTGCAACACTTTGCTGACTTGCACCTAGCTCAGCCCACACCTGTGCTGTCACAGCAAGTCTTCAACTAGTTTAGGCATTAAAAAGCACCTTTTTTTTTTTTTTTTGTGATGCTTGTACCACGAAACAGGGCTCACCAAAGAGGGAGAAAATAAAAGAGAAATGAAGACCTAATCAATGAAAAAAATCAAATCTGTACCGCACTCATGGTAATTAAAAACTACAGGCATAGTTTTGTAAAGGAGAAAAGGTATCACACGTTTATTTTTCAGGAGTCAGTCCTAAACCGATAGCTATCTGAGCTACTTTTGTATCCGAGGAAGCAACTTCCTTTTCTGCCTATGGCAAATTGTAATCTTACACGCAATAGTGACTGAAAGGGTTCACATGGATCTCTCCCCCCATTCTGCTTCTTTACACAGAAGCTTGCCATGCTGTAGGCTGGGTGTTTTGGTTCACAGCCAAGCATGTGGGAAGCATCTGTGGAAAATGCAATGTGTTCCTTTCCCTCTGTGGCAATCAAGCTTTCATTTCTGCCAAGCCAGATGTGAATATAGCACAGCCAACTGTATTGACGCTGCTTGTCAGACTTAGGCAGTCAGGGGACGGCCAAAGACAGTATTGCATGTCATAAACCCAACAACTAGCTTAACATGCAGTTATTGCTAAACGTCACATCCATTGGGCAACTTTTGAAGGGCAGGAAAATTGAAATTACAGCTCTCCACAGAGTGCCTTCTCTCTTCATATATTACAGGTAGTTCTCAACTCACCACCTTTTGTTTAATGACCGTTCAGAGTTACAATGGCACTTATGGCCATTGCAGCATTCCCATGGTCATGTGATCAAAATTTGGGCGCTCTGGCAACTGGCATGTATTTATGACAGTTGCACTTTCCCAAGGTCATATGGTCACTATTTGTAACCATCCCAGTTGGCTTCCAGCAAACAAAGTCAACGGGGGGGAACCAGATTCACTTAACAACTGCAGTGACTCACTTAACAACTGTGGTGAAAAGGTTGTAAAATGAGGCACAACTCACTTAACTCACTCGCCTTGCTTAGGAATAGAAGTGTTGGGCTCAGTTTGTGGTCACAATTGAGGCCTACCTGTATTTCAATAATAATTGGACAGGGGTTTTATTTTTAGCAGGACAGATGGGATAGTAGCAGGCTCGATCCAGATTATAGACCTGTCGTTGTGCTTCTTTTAAAAGGAAAAGAAAGGAAATAGAAATATGAAGGAAGTTGGTCTATGAATCATATTATAAGGTTCATGTTTTTCAGGATGTGCAATGAACCTTAAGTACCTAATATAGATAACTGAATGGAGTCTCAGGGAGGCACACAGAATTCCAAGTCATAGCGGTGTGGTGTTTGTAATGCAGAGTTCTGTATGCGAGAGCTTTTGCAATTCAACCCCTAGCTTTTGGATAGAAAAGGCTGACAGAAAATTAATGAAGAGAGTGTTTCAGGGATTGAAATGTGGATACTACACTGTATATGATGACAAATATACAATAATTAGATTCTCCAGATGTGCTGGATTATTACATATTGTGGGAGAACAGGCTAGTTAGTAAAATTGCAAGCACCTGTGCTACCTTCTTTCCCTCCCATTTGAGCCTTTCCCTCAGCATCTGCACAGCTGCAGGTAAACCTTGACACAAGTGTGGGAGGAAAAGGGCGGAGATGCAAGAGTTTTGGAGCTTTGCAAGTCACCAGCAAACCGAGTATAGCACTCAAAAAAAGAGGTGTTTTTCTTTCAGGAGTAGATGGTCTAAATGTAGAGGAAAAATATAGCAGCCCTGGAAAATAAAGCAGCACATAAAAAACATGCAAGGGCTCTCTACATGCTGGTCATTAACAGAAGACGAAAAAGAAAATGGGGACTTAAGACAGAACAGGTTTAAGAAAGAGACATTAATGCATAAGAGGAATAGATAGTATAGAGCAGGGGTCTGCAACCTTAAACCCTCAAAAAGCCATATGGACCCATTTCCCACAGAAAAGAAAACACCGGGAGCCATAAAACCCTTCCTCTGCCTGACTATTTCTTGAGCGGCCACAAAACTAGCATATATAGTTGAATTAAAGATTGTTTTCTTCTGAAACTTTTCTTTTCTTGGATTTATCCATGGTTGGCCTACCAGGGGTTGAAAAGCTCAATAAATCATATGCTGATGGGTGTCGTACATTGGTGGTTGTGATGCATATTTTGAGTGACAGGGAGCTGCAGCAAAGGGGTGAAAGAGCCACATGTGGCTCCAGAGCCGCAGATTGCTGACCCTGGTATAGAGCATAGGATATAGCTAATTATGATCGAGAAATAGGTAATAGTATAAACATTGTCATAGAAGTAATTGAAAAGCAATAGTATATTGTAATAGTTAAGTATCAACTGGTAATAGTATAAAGATAGCAATAAAATACAGAAGGCACACACACACACACACCACACATTATGGTGGGAAACATGCAGAAGAGGCCTTCATCCTGCAGTGGATAGACAGTGACTAAAATGATGATGTATGTATATACTTGCAGAATACATGCACACACACGTGTGTGTGTGTGTGTGTGTGTGTGTCTATATCTCTATCTATCTATCTATCTATCTATCTATATCTATCTATCTATCTATCTATCTATCTATCTATCTATCTATCTATCTGCACCTCTCCAGAGACCAGTCTTTGCATCTCTCTCCAGTCTGGGTCAATTGAATTAGGCATGATTTAGAAAAAGAACCTGTGTGTCACACATAGTCCTCCACAGACATCATAAATTGCTCAAAGAATAGCAAAACTGGGCCAGTAATTAACTAACAGGGAAAAGTTGAATGCAAACACAGATGTCTTTGAATACAGATGAATAGTAGGGAATTTCATACTGGAAGATGCCTTAGCTGATAGTTAACTTAGTTTCCTTTTAAAAATCCAAACAACCAAGAAATCCTTCAAAAAGCCTCTGTACTAAGAATACAAATCCGGTTACAGCAGAGACCTGAAAGGACCCTAATGTATGGGATTATTGCTAAGCCAGTCTGTTATGGTTAGAGAAGTGGATTTGGCTCAGGGAGACCCAAGTTCAGATTCCTATTCAGCTACAAGCCCATTGTGCTCTCTAGAGCCAGTCACCATGCACAGCCTAATCTGCCTAACATAGTTTTGGGGCTGGGGGGTGAGTTGGGATTGAGAGGTGATGATTTTTAAATACTACTTGAAGGATCTTGGAGGAGGCGGCTATAAATGTAAAAAAAGAAAAAAAGTACAGAATACCAGGCAACTAAACTTTTCTACAATATTAAAGAGATTATTGCTGCCATCTGGTGGTTATATGGAGTTTTACAAGCCAGATCTGGTAGCAGTAATAATTCTAATAATTTCTATTGGAGCCCTAATAATATTACATCTAAATCCTATCCTATAGCTAAAACTGCACACATTTGCTGAAGATTAATGTCTACTAAGACCTATGGAACATTTTGAAAAACACGCTGGGCGGCATGAACAATTATTCTTTACAGCTATGTAATTTTCTGTAACAATCTTCTTTGAAAAAATATAGTTGAGTCAATTGGGTCAACACATACACATTATGTATGTGTTTTTGTGATTTGTTTCACATCTGGTTGACAGGCAGCTTAACCTACACATATAAGGTTAAATCATAACATTCAAAGAGACTTATTCATAATAAATCTGCATTATATTTGCAATGCTATGTAAAAACTCCAAGCTCATCTACTGCAAAATTAAATCTCACTGGATGTAATAAAAATTACTTACGAGTTACAACTCTGAATTCTCTGTTACGGAAGTTAAAGCTGCAATTTTTAAAGTTATACCAAGGGGTAAGCTTCACTGAACACCATCTTAGTCACTAACTTCAGCTCCAAATTCTCTTAAGGTTATTTATCTTGTGAGCCTCATTTACCCAGCTATAAAATGGGAACAACTCACTTTAGAAGTTTGGTTGTTGTTGTTTTTTTGTTTTGCAAAATTCTTTTACCCATTGAAAGCACCAAAAGTTTTATTCCCATCCTATCTCCCTTTTCCCTTCAAAATTTAAAGGTAGTTTTATCTCCTCATCACCACAACCTCCAAATCTCTCATTTCGGCCTGGATTTGCCATCTCCCCACATCCAGAGATCAACCGCTCAGCCACAACAAAGCACTTCTTGCTAAACAAACTTTATCCTTGTGAATCAAAAGTGTATTTCTGTTAAGAAACAGGACATCTAATTTCTTTCTTGTGGGATTCCAGAAGTGCCTCTCTCATCTGTAGGCTATCGAAATATATCACAGTTTAGCACTAGTCATTCCTCAGAGCTGCTATAAACACTTTTTTCAAACTTTGGAAGCTCATGGCTTCATAGCTGAAGGGATGCCCCTTCCTCTACCTCCTCTTCCCGCTCCCCAAAGAGACCAGCAGTTTTCTGAAAAAGAGAGGCTCATTTTCTCTGTTCAGTTGACCTCGCTGGCTTTAACAATACTCTGCCAACAAATCTCTCCTTAAATTCTTCTGTTTTTAAAATTGTACGCACAGCAGACTGACCAATCTACTAGGGCAGAAGGAAAGGGAGAACGAAGACTGGCATAAGAGAAGGGCAAAGGAGTTCACCAAAACGAGATTGGCTGCTTTGGTTTTCAGCCTTCCTTAGCGACCAAAAACTTTCTCAATGCTAACTAGAAGGAATAAAAAATGATTGCCTTCAGGAAAAGGGGGGGAAAAAAACCCCAGCGAACATAGACACGGACTTCCTTCCAGTGCTAAATCGCGATTACTAGGATCCCAGGAACTAATTTGCCACACAATCGGATTACTATTCCCCGAACGCCTGTCTTGCACAATGTCAGATTGCAACAACAACAAAAGTTTTGCTTTAAAGCTGCCAACCGAGTAAGGCAGAAGCGATTCTGCCACCCGGATCCTGCGGGCTCCTAGGATTCAAGGTAACCCAGTTGCAGGCAACCTCGCTTCGAGCCCTTCTCCAACGTTTGCTGCCATTAACGAGAAGGGAGGTGGAGGTGAGGGAGACCACGTGAAAAGCCATCCGAGCAGCAGCAGAAGCAGCATTTGAACAAAGCCTCAATTAAGGACCATGCTTGGTACGAACCAGAAAACCCGAATCACACATTTCCATATGAAAACAAAATGTGTGTACGTGTGCATCTTTATGGCGGAAGATGGGAGGGAGAGTTGAAGAAGTTATGGTAATTTCAGATTCCTAGAGAAGTTTTAAAAGGAATCGAGAAACGGCAGCAGATTACTGCATTGGGTACCTTTCCTCAAAGTTGGCTGCCTGTTTTGCTGTAAAGAATTTTGGTTACACAGACAAAAAAAAACATTCTCCTTCAGTAAATAAGATGAAAACTAAACAAGATGATATACTTGATGAGAAAGCTAAACTATTAAACAAATGGCTCCTCCCGAGTTGGTTAATCTGGTAAAGGTAAGAGTCACATTAAAAAAAAAAGTTCTGGAAAAAAGGCATTAATATCAAAGGAAGCTATAATTGTTACCGGTCAACATAAAAAATGATATCGAAACATTTCATATTATATACACATTTAAAATTAGGTATGTATGTATGTAAACTTTTGGATAGATAGATAGATATAACTACATGTATAGTTTTCCAATCACAGGTAACCATAATCTTTAAGAAAGTTTGTTTGGAATGAACTCCAAATAAAACTGTCCCCCCCCCCCATCCTTACCTTCCTGCTCAGCAGAGAAGGACTTCAGCTTTTCAGTTCTCCAGAGGTTAAAACTCAAGTGCCTATTTCAGGCACTCAGACCTGCCTATTTAAACTTTAAAGTCTCCCCGTCTGTTCTCCAGATGATGGCTGGTGTCCTTCCTTCCCCTTTTGCCTGGAAGAAAACTGCTGAGGCGGCCTTTAGAAGGGAAGAAAAGAGCACACCCTCCCTCACATCCCAAACACCCCCTTTTTTGTCACTCTTAACTTGAAGAACTGAGAGAGCTTTTTAAAAGTTTTCCAGCCACTAGCTGTGAGGGAGGAGCTCAAGAGGAGGGGTGAAGAGCATTAGAGGTGGGACTGCCAAGGGAGGGGAGGAGGAAGCTCAAGAGAAGACACAGAAGCAGGAGACGGCTTGGGGGAAAAAATGGGGTTGGGGGGGGGCGGGGAGACAGACAGACAGAGAGGCTGAAGTGGCTGAGTAAGCACATAGTTTTAAAGAATGGGGATACATGAAAGAGACCAAACTGGGATGGTATCCAGACCTGCTCTTGCTGGAGGGAAGTGGCACCATTTAATTTACTGCATGAAACACAACCCTTCAAAGGTGTGTGAAGTACCTGCATGCTGGGTTTGCCATGGGCCAGTGATGAGTTACACCGGATTTCATTAGCAGCTGGCCTGCCACAACTCAGTATCCCTCCCTCCACCAAAAAAAAAAAAAAAAAAAGCATATGGGAATTAGCAACAGAAGCCATGGCATCACAAACGTGCCTGTACGCACAATTCGGGGTGAATTCTCCCTGGAGAATTTCAAAAGGTAGGACAATACATGGAGAAAGACATCTGGAGTGGCTTCCCCCTAGTGGTTGACTTCTGTTGGCTTTGATGCCTTCACTGCTCTTTTTCCTCAGCAGTGCTTTTCTGAGTCCGCCCCTCCCCACCCCCCCAAATCTCCTTGCAAGACTCTACACAATTGAACTATTTTCCAAGTGTTGGAGGGAAGGGGGGGTAATGAGAATGACAGAGGAACTGCTACTAAAGAAATGTGGCAAAGTTTTGGAGTCAAAGACTTGATCTTGGTGTGGAATAGCCAGCTATTACATAAAACAAGGCCTACTCTCCGGTAATTGGACAGAAGTGTCAAAAATCCTAGGAACTAAGTTCTTAACCCTAACTAAGTGTAGGAAAGGATGAGAAGCAAGCTCAAATTATATAGTTCTTCATATTTGCAGTGATTTCTACATACACAACATTTGATCGGTGTCTGTATGGGTATATATGTTAATATGTGTGTATGGGGAAAACAGCCTAGCTTTGAGTTTCAAAGAAGAGAATACTGTTGTATATTATCTATCCCAAGATATACTATTAGATCAACCTTGTTTGCTATGAAACACAAACTAAGTTGGGCTTCCTGATTTCTACAGTGGCCATTGCAATCAATGCTTCTGGAAAGAATTCCTTTCCTGCTACCTCTTTTCAGCATGTTTCTTTTTAGATGCCTTAAAGATTTTTTTAAATCACACCTTTACTGCTTAATAAGTAACTAAAGGTGTCAAACCTATCTAATACTCCTTCCTCCTCTTGTTTTCCCCATGACAACAACCCCATGTGAAGCAGGTTGGTCTGAGAAAGAACAGCTGCCCCAAAATCACTCAGCTGGTTTCCATGGCTAGTGGGACTAGGACAGTCTCTTGGTTTCTAGACTGGTGCTTTAACCACCTAGACCAAATATATAGTATTGTACAGAAAAGTCATGATACATGGACTTTTTTTCAATAGCCTTCAGAGGCATGCTTAAATTCTTTTAGCTCCTGGCAGGGTTGGGCTTCAAAAATTTTAGCAAGGAGTTCTCTGCCCGATTGCTGGGTGGGCATGGCCATGGCCTAGTCGGCCTCTTGCACCATGGCGGGAGTGGTGGTATTTTTGCCCTCCCCGGGCTCTGGATGCTTTCCTCGAGCCTCCATGAGGGTGAAAACAGCCTCCCCAGGCTCCGGAGGCCCTCTGAAGGCCAGAAACGAGCCCGTTTCCGGCTTTCCCAAACTTCCGGTAGGCCCGTTTTTCACCTCCCCGAGACTCCGCGCGCACCCTGCACTTACCTGCATCCAGAACAGGCCACGTGGGGACTCCTGGGAGGGGTGGGGTAGGGTGGGCAGGGCCAGCCTTGAGTGGGATTTGGGGGTTCTCCAACCTGCACAGAATCTTAGCTAGAGGTTCTCCCGAACCCCTGCGAACCCCCAGCAACCCATCCCTGGCTCCTGGCCAATCTTTTGCTTCTCCAGGCAGCAAATTCTAGCAGGTAATAACAGTATTTCCTTTAGTCCCTCCCAAATCTACTGCTAATTCGTGTCATGGATGCTTTTAACATAGATTGACAATACAGGAAATCCTCGGCTTAATGACCATAATTGAGTCCGCAAGTCATGAAAAGTGAATAACCACATGACTGTCTGATTTTATGTTCTTTTAGCAGTGTCATTAAGTGAACATGGTCCTTCATTAAATGAACTCAGTGGTCATGAAGTAAAGGCAGAAGTTGTAGAATGAAAATGGTGGTCACTAGCGAACCAATTCTTCACTTCAGGTCAGGTTTTGCCAAGAACCAGAAATAAACATCGTTTTTCAGCAAAAACATTGTAAATCAGAGGCACGAGAATCTGAGACTCTGCAAACGGCTATAAATGTGGGCTGGTTATTGAGTGCCCAAAATGTGGTCATGTGACCACAGCACAGCTGACCCCAGAATTTAGAATCTGGGCTGTAAGTTCCTTTTTCAGGATCCGTCACTAACTTCAAACAGTCGTTAAATGACCAGTCAGAAGTCAAGGATTTAATGAAAGTTGGAGAGAACCAGCCCTATTTCTTAACTTTCTCTAGATAATATTGTAACTTTTTATTATTTCCACAGTGACTTGCTTTTTAATTCTTTTCAACCCAACCCAAAAATGGTGTCGTTTTGGTCAGCCCCCAAAATGGGTCCATCCAGCTGGGAGTTAAAGGCGGGCAGTGGCATGGAATGCTGCGGATCGCTCCATTCTAAGCCCCCTCCCTCCTAGTGATGTCGCCCAGGGCAAAACAGCTACTAAGGAGTTGGAAAGAATTCCAGAAGCTGTAGTCTATATACTTTCCCTACCACAACGAAAGCCTTTGTATGATGTAACTTTTCCGGCTCATTTGTAGCCATGCAGATATGGGATCAACTATACAGACTCATCCAAAGTCAGCTGCACTGCAACTATGTACGTGGCCAAGAAGGAGTGGGTAAAATTAGTTTCACTCCCTTTTCCATTACAAACCACTTCCACTTATTTCTAAAAAAATATATATAGATAAGTCACCAAATTGGGAAAGACTTTATTGTAAAGCTAATGAATAATTTAAATAGACTCCCATATCTGGCTCAGAAAATCCTAACTCTGTGTTGCCACCATGTGGCCATCTTGAGCACTGCAATCCAATGATGCAATGTTTGATTAAAATTAAAGAGGGACATTGTTTAAATTTATTTAAAGATGGATTTAGTGGGGGGGGGAGGTTTAGTCTTAGTCTTCAATTTTGGTTTAGAACTGATGGTAACAGTTCAACACATGGTCCTTTGGGACCCAGGCTTATTAAAGTCAACACTTGATTTTATGCCTAGGAAGATGAGTATCATAGTGCATTAAAGTACATTTATAACTAAACTCTAAAAGAGACATAGTTCAGTGGCTAAGATGCTGAGCTTGTCAGCAGTTCAGCGGTTTGAATCTCAAGTCCTGCGTAATGGAGTGAGCTCCCGTTACTTGTCCCAGTTTCTGCCGACCTAGCAGTTCGAAAGCACGTAAAAAATGCAAGTAGAAAAATAGGGACCATCTTTGGTGGGAAGGTAACAGTGTTCTGTGTGCCTTTGGTGTTTAGTCATGCCGGCCACATGACCATGGAGACGTCTTCAGACAGTGCTGGCTCTTCGGCTTTGAAACGGAGATGAGCACCGTTCCCTAAAGTCGGGAATGACTAGCACATATCTGCAAGGGGAACCTTTACCTTTATAACTAAACTCTAGACCTTAGATTCATTTTAAATGCCACCTTTTAATCAGCAATTTATAACTATGGTAATATGGAAATATTTGTATATAAACTTAGTTTGATTTCCTGGAACAAGACTCTCAGGGGGAAAAAAGCATTTAATAGACTGAAATGCAAGCAAGTTACCTTGGCATTTCCATATTTATTTGTTTTGGGTGCTTGTTTTTATCTTTATCTAAATTTCAAGGCATTGATCAGCCATGTTGAGTTTCCTAGTTCTGTTGCTGTAGTGGAGACACAAACATATTTGTCTCACTCCTGTAATCTTCTGCATCTCCAAGAAGTTGTCTGATCATCAATATAAACAAACCCAAGAGTGCCTGTGCTTTTGCCATAACATCTAAGACTGAAGCAAATGTCACTATTTCAGATTTTGTTTTTGTTGGACTCACATCACACCTTTTGTACCAGAGCTCAGAAAATTAGAAATCACACCTCTGAATTGGAGCCTTGAATGTAAAATTTTCTCTTTAAGAGTTGAAATGGAGCCAGCCTGGTATAGTATTTAAGGTTCTGGCCTAGAAATCAGTAGACTCTGAATTCTAGTTCCACCTTAGGCACAAAAAACTGGCTGGGTGACTTTGAGTCAATCACTCACTCTCTCTCTCAGCCCAACTCACCTCACATGGTTGTTGCTGTGTGGAAAATGTGAGGAGGATGGAGCTATGTTTGGCACCTTGAGTTACTTATAAAGCAATGAAGTCAAGATAAAAATTTAATAAATAATGTTCTTGGCAGCTCTTTTATTTTTATTTTAAATTTGACAAACTCACAAAATAGTAAGCCTTTCAAGTTAATCCTTATACACAATTACTCAGAAATAAGTTCCAGTGCATTCAGTAAAACCTCTTTCTGAGAACCCATGCGGGGTGATAAATCTAAATCCGGTTGAGCTTCTGATGATTGGAGCATTTGCTTCCTTTCATGGGGATCCCTGTGGCAAAAAAGAGAAGTCTGCCACTGGGATGTGAACAATTCAGCCAACTGAATTGCCATGTGTATTTTGAAACAACAACAGAATCTCCCTCTTCTGTCTGAAGGCAGCAAGTCATAGAGTTCTAGGGAAAAGGAGTTTGAAAAGAAACTTCCTTATAGATGCAGCCCTGAGAGGCGGGTGTGTGTTTGGGCAAGCTCGTCTTCCTCTTTATTGGGTGAATTTCCTTGGAGTAAATACCACAGTTGCCCCATCTTCAATTACTCATTTC